AAAAAACTCAACACCACCATCTAGTGGATTGTAAAGAAATAGATTTTATTATTCTAACAAATAGTATAATAAAAGATTGATACTTGGCGTCCATGTATCGATACAGTATTGCCGCGGAAAATATCGCGATACTATGCTGTATCGATTTTTCCCCCCACCCCTATTATTTATTCATACTTATAAATGCAATTATATCACGTACTGTATCACTTCCAAGCAAATAAATATGTGTAATAATATAATTGATACCTCCGATAAAATTGTGAAAACACATCAGAGTGATTTATTAGAGTATTGTAGAAGAAAATATGTAGGAGTCTTGAAAATCAAAAGTCATACGGCTTTAAAACAACATTAGTTAATTTTCATCTGTATTTGTAATGCTTTCAGCATTTTTTCTGAAAGGTAAAAGACAGTATGTTGCAATACTGCTGGGATATACATTTTGTAATATAGTACGTTTTATATTAGGTAAAATGTTGTCCCATGTGCCAAATGGAAACTGTATTAATATCAAATGAAAATGAACCACAAATTTAAATTCTGAAAAGCCCAAACACACAGACAAGATGTTGCCTCCACACCCCAAATCGCTCGTGCTGTGACTGTCTTCATATCTTTCCATACATTTCCAGTGCTATAACTCATTAATCATTTACACAACATGAAACCGTAATCAAAATAAACCATAATACTGCATAAGCAATTCATTTAAAGTCTCCTCTTTGCCCATCTCTCCATAGCAACGGTTCATCGCAGTGCAAATTTTTGCAGTGTAATTTCAAATGCGGCCGCTATTAAGCATCGTACACCCTCTCTCTCGCTCACTCTTGCTATCTTTCCCTAATGTAAACAAACACAGGCAGACTGGTATTAAGCCGCGCAGCTGAAAGCCCCGCCCCTCTCGTAGCTACACGGCCCGCTGGGTATTTCAGCAACTCATTGGAATCTTCAAACAACAAAGATAAACAAGTGTTCCAATTAAGAATTAATTACTGCTCAGACACTCAACTGCTTCTGCTCACTCCGTTGGGAACAACTCAAATGGCGAGGAAACACACACGCATACACATAGCAAAAAAGATAAGATAGAGGGGTCACATACAGAACACATATAGAAGAATAGGTGATTATGAAGACAGAAGGTACGGGTGAGTGGGTGAGTGGGTGAGTGAGTGAGTGAGTGAAAGAGAGAGAGAGAGAGAGAGAGAGAGAAGTTAAGAAAATGGCCTGGAGGTATCACCGTCTGGGCTTAAAACACTATAACAAGCCCAAAGCAGAATTACACAGCACCTCAGATGTAAGGAAAGAGCCAATTTATAACTGGCTTTCAACACCAAAGAGAGGAGATGGGCGAAATAGCCTCTTTCAAGTACATACTCATTGTGGGTAAAATAGCATCTACAGAGCAAGGCAAATTACTGCTAATAGGTCATATCTCTACTGGAACTCACCAAAAGCTACTCTGAGCACAAATATGTCCTATTAAGAGTTTATTTATAGGGTAAATACACACACACATGTTTCGTTAATGACAGTGCTGGGCCACTTTCACAAGAAGTCCAGGTCTCCAGTATGGGCCATCTTTCATCTTCTGACCTTTTCTGCCAGGAAGTCTCTGATGCCTCGTGTCTCTGTCTTTCTTTACTGACAGGTATTCAGGGACTCTAACAAGCTCTAACTTTAAAAGGTTTGGACTGGATGTCACAGTCTAGCAGGGAGTGAAAGATAAAGAGAAGGAAAGAAAGATTATATAAAACAATAACACTTAGTAATAAATATCTATTTTTACTGTAGATACACACACGTGTGTGTGTGTGTGTGTGTGTGTGTGTGTGTGTGTGCGTGCGTGTGTGTGTGTGTGTAATTTTCTGTAAATGTATATCTTTTTCTCTCATATTATATGCAGGTAAAAAAAAAGTTTAAGAATGAAAGTTTTTGAATGAAGTCTTTCATGCTCTTATGCTCATCGATGCTGCATTTATTCGATCAAAATGTAAAAAAAAAGTAAAAACATTAATATTTAAAATATTGTTTCACATGACATAATTATTGATGATAAAAACAGTGGAAACGTTGATTCATTGATTAATAGAAATTTTAAAAGACCAGCATTTATTTGGAATAGAATTAAAGGTTTGTAACAAATTAAAATCTTAACTGTCACTTTTTATCTATTTAATGCATGCTTGTTGAATAAAGGTATTAATTTCTTTCCAAACATAGTGTGTGTAAAGAAAGAATGTAAATATTCTCTATCCTCCCGCTTCAGTCTCTATGACTTTCCCACCACAGTGGAAACAGCCATTCAACACTGTGAGAGGCTCCATGGCGAGAGCGAGCTGATGGGTGTGTGCTGGAATCATGTACCCCAGCAGGAGAGCTTGGATTGGGGCTGCGAGAGTCACCTCTCCCCCCTGCTAGAGGCACATGACTCATGGAGCTCCAAACAGCGGGGGAGGAACACATGACCTGACCTATCAGAAGCTCAAAATATGAGGGTTATTTTAATAATAAATAAATAAAACCCAAAGGTGTCTGGATTGTGGCCTAGTACTTAGTAAGTGTTGATGTGGGAGACCCACATCATGTCCTGATTTTCTTCTGCTCACATTTCCACATTACAATTTCCTGTCAATTAAATAATATCTAATCAATAAAAAGTACCAAAATGTAAATACATAAATAAAAAATAAACAGATGAGGATAAATTGGTGGTCAAAAAAGCCAGCATTATACTGCATTATATTATAAAATTCCTCAACGTTGGACCACATATCTCTCTTGCTCTTTCATCTTTACTATTGACTGCTCATGCTGTGTTTTAAAAAGCACAGAGATAGCTGCTGCTGTCTATTTGCTATAAGCATTCTTTGTGTCCTATGGTTCTGACATGACAAAGTATTGTTGTTCATATCACACGGAACCACAGGGGGCTGCTTGTCAGGAAGACTGAAAGATTTAAAGACTTAAATCCCTATAGAGTTTAATCCCTTCCTGCCTTAGACACAGTTCAGGTAGATGATCTTCATACTGTTTCATCAAATGCAGACCTGCCCGCCCCTAAATGGCTTATAAAACCATGATATACTGTGGTTGGTTGCTTTACATGTCAGTCAGACAGGACCAGTATTGACGTGCAGCTCTAGAAAACATTGAGGTTGAGGCTGTGTGAATGGTGTGCTCTCACCTCAGCAATGGGTACGATACCCTGTAGGTCTCTCTGGTTAATATAGATGGTGGAGATGACTTCAGCAGACACTCCGGTAGAGGGATACTCTATCTGCCAGCGGATGGACTGCGATGACCGCAGGTTGATGAAATTGTCAATCTCAAAGTCCACCCACATGATCTCATAGAAGGAACCATCAAGTCTGTTGAGAAAAAGAGAAAGACAGATGTCGGATGAGGGGGAGAGAGAGGGAGACACTCTTAGATCAAGGAAGATCAAGGGCTTTAGTACAACTGCTGCCGAGAGCCAGACTTTATACTGTGTTTTGATGTCTATTCACACATCCTCCAGGACAGCAGGGGGAAGTATTGCCTTTGGCCTCCTACAAAAGTTGAGAACACATAAGTTAATATTAAAAAATTCAGTGATTATGTGATGATTTTAAAAAGCCCTTAGAACAGAAAGAAGAAAGAAGCCTTTCGAGATATGCTCTCTTTCACAGGTGAGTGGTAATGATAAGTAAAAAATTATATGTAAAATAAAATAATATTTAAAAATATGAAAATGTTACATTTTTATTAAAGTGTGTGTGTATGTGTGACAATGAATAATTTTGCTTAATTCAAATTTTAAAAATGTTAAAAAAAAACGAATAAAAAAAACTAAAAAGTCATGTAAAAAGTAAAAATTACATGCAATATTTAATTGAGTAACACAAAATGCTCAACATTTAAAACATTTAACACACAAAATTTCAATCAGATTCCTGAATAACTTTTAACAAATCAATTTAGGTGATGAATAATTGGAATCCTCATCATGTATAGATTCTAATTACTGTGATTACTGTGTGAGTTTCACTGGAACGGCTTGTGTTTAATGCACATAAAATATCTCAAAAGATATTAACAATTTGAAGGGTTTCCTCTCTGTAATCACATCCAGAGAATAAACTCAAGGGACTGATCTGCAGATGAAAATTAGAGCAACAAAAACCCATTGAAGAAGGTTTACTGTGGGAAACAATAGTAACAGCCAGAAGGCACTGCATCTTAATACAATTAATGAATTACTTGGAGTCTGTGCATTACTGCAAGTGTCAGAAATGGAGAACAAGGGATAAAAAGCACTAAAGCACTGTAGAATCATGTAACCAAGCAGTTTCTGTCTCAAATGGCAAGCACAGACTGTTACGGGCATGTATTCACAAAACCTGAAATCCATAACACATGGAACTGGTGATTTCAGCCAAGCTCTTGGTATTTTTTTGTGAAATTTGCATCAGACTGTCATTCTACGGGTTAGCACGCATAGGTTTTTACCAGAATACCAGGAAACAAAGTCATGTTTACAAGATATTGATCCAAGATATTCACAAGTTTTATCTATGGCACTTAGCAGCAAGTAAACAAGATATTCCCAACCATGGCTTTATTTTATGCCTGTGGAATATTCTGTATTTATTACTTCTGATCAAAGACTACAAATCCCTAAACAATACATAAAACAAAGTAATCTGTGTTTAGTCATGTTACATGATGATCAAGTCTCTTACCATCTAAGTGGTCAGGTCTTTTGCTGAGTACACTACAAAGTGGAGCAAACTTTATGCCGCAAGTTAAAAGTCTTGCTCTGTGATGCACTCATACACACACACTAAGCTTCAAGCTTCAAGACTGATATGAAACAGCAAAGTCCATTTCCCTGAATGACAGGAAACCCTCCGATTCCTTCCTCGTCTCTTTCTTCTGAATGAATGTGCACAGTTAGATCCCAACCTCTCTAAATGCTCCGAGTTGACCTTTGACCTCAGATCAACAGGGGCCAAATAACCGCCTTCCCCCTCCATCCTTGTTATGACACCCCCAAAATGAGTTCAATTACACTCGCCCAATTGGCCGCTTGATGGATGTGCTGCTTGCTGTCTGACCCCTTCCTCCTTCAAAAAGAATGTTCTAGAAGCAGTAAATGAATCAATAAACCAACAGACAATACTTTATTGCAGAGATGGCATACGTCTACGGGGAGCGGGGAGAGAGGTAGGGGACGGATGTACTAAAATGTAACTAAAAACTATAAAATAAATATAAAATATATATAAAATTATAAAAACGATAAATATACAAATATATAAACAACAAAAAATGTATAAAAATGACAAAAACACACCAGAATTACTAAAAATCTAATTAACATGAAGTAGAAATTATAATAATAAAAAAAATGTATTAAAATATTAACAAAACCTATAATAGTATCTCAGTGATGCTAAAATAACACTGCTTAGAAATTGCTAGTAAATTCCACAATTAATTACAAAGAAATAACAAGTAAAACATTGAATTAAATGTGAAATTTTGAAGTAGAAAGACAAAAATTATTGTAAAATGTACTCCAGTAATATTAATTTACAACTTTGAAAAATAATTTTTACAGTGATACCTCAAAGAGAACGGATGTCAAATTTTTCAAAGAATAACACCTTAAATTTGGTATTGTTCTCACAAAAAGCAATCATTTTGCCTCAGGTTGCTTGATGGATTTAGTGCATTACTTACTTTTATAATACTTTAAAAGAAAGTCATACAGTGACAAGATGGTAATGATGTAAATGATGACAGAACTTAAATTTTTCATGAAATGTTCCTTTAAGAGAAGAGTGTAGTGAAATATATTATTATAAACAACTGCCCAAAGAGCAAACAGTGAATACAGCTCTTCCGAAACCAGTGACCTATAACATAACCCTTGTAAATGTAATTAGCCATGCATATTTGAGTTTTTAAGCGCATGTGATCACATGTATATTCTCACCCCCTCAGAAACCCTAATGCAATTGAGCAATTATCTTTACTTAAAGTAACTTTGGAGGTATACAGGGAGAAAGCACAGGCACCAGGGCATCGGAGTCAAAACCTTCAGTCAGAATTTTTCAGTCTCTCTCTCTCAGCCATAATTAATTTAAGCAGAGGGAAGAAGAGAGAAAAGAGGAGTCTCATTGTCCCCAGCTGTATTAATTAGCCATCATCGATCGGTTCAGGGTTTGTGGCCACCACAGATGCTGAAAAGGCAGGAGTGTTTATCTTATCATAGGTCAGAAACCGAGAGCAGCTGAGAGGCAGACTCACACCCATAAATCACTCGCCTGTTGTTTAACCTTTGTTGAGAAAGTCGTGTTTTTAAGAGTGCTGGACAGAAGCAGAGGGAACGGAGAAGTGCTGTCAGCCAGACTTAAAGAGCCGTTTGTCACCAGTGACGGGTTCACTCATGTAACCGTGCACTTCAGAACATCGCTTGAGAGAGTTCCTCTGCAGGTGTCCGGGAAGAGCAAGCCAAGGGCTTTCAGTTGTCACGTCGCCTCTAATTAATCTGTCACTGGATTGAAGTATTTTCCAGAGTTAGGACAATTGTAAAACAGGGTGCATATTTACATGACATTCTTCTTGAAGAGATTAAAGTTGTAATGGAAGCAGTGACAGATCTTTTCTTCCTTGAAAACATATTGTGAAACATATTATCGAAAAAGGGAAAAAATTTAGGACGGGGGCTTGGTTCTATCCACTGGTTATTGATTAGATGGAGGCAGATTTAAATGTGAACTTGCAGTCGATTATAAAAAAATAAATAAAAGGGGGCAGGTTTTAAAGGATTAGTTCACTTCAAGTAGGGATGTAACGGTATGAAAATGTCTTATCACGATTATAGTGACCAAAATGATCACGGTTATCAGTATTATCACGGTATTGTTAAAATGTGCTGGAAATGTTCAAAAAGTACTGACACACAAATCATTTCACCAAGTTTATTTCTCTGAATAGCACGAGCGTTTTGTCATTATTCACTCAGAGTCAGAGTCAGACAGGGATCTTGCCCAAACACTCAGCTGTGCCCAACAATGAGCCGCAGACAAGCAAACCGCATACACACGCGGCCTCACACAATTATACGCAAACACAAATGCGCCGAACAGGACTTTCAGAGGCGTTAAGAGGATTAGTTATGTAGAAGCAGATGAGAAGTAGAGAGGACAGCAAAGTTATTCTGCATTCAAGGAAAGTTGTTAAACATTATAAACGGCTGGATAATAAGCAGGGCAAACGAGCGTATGGCAAAGGAGCGAAGCGTTATGGGAATTCTGAATTTCTTTTAAAGGCATAGCTCACTCAAAAATGAAAAGTCTGACTCAACGTCATGCTTGAACCTGTATGTTCAAGCATGACGTCCATGAAACGTCCATTTTTTTCGTCCATGAAACACGAAAACACTAAAGGAGGAGATGTATTGAATGTTTTGTAGCTCTCAAATCTCATTTGTGCTTCTTCATATTAAAACCAGAAGTCATAATCAGCTACAAGGCATGCAGGTACCAACATTTCTTATCTTCATTTAGTTTAACTTGATGTACTAAAATGTAACTAAAAACTATAAAATAAATATAAAATATATATAAAATTATAAAAACGATAAATATACAAATATATAAACAACAAAAAATGTATAAAAATGACAAAAACACACCAGAATTACTAAAAATCTAATTAACATGAAGTAGAAATTATAATAATAAAAAAAATGTATTAAAATATTAACAAAACCTATAATAGTATCTCAGTGATGCTAAAATAACACTGCTTAGAAATTGCTAGTAAATTCCACAATTAATTACAAAGAAATAACAAGTAAAACATTGAATTAAATGTGAAATTTTGAAGTAGAAAGACAAAAATTATTGTAAAATGTACTCCAGTAATATTAATTTACAACTTTGAAAAATAATTTTTACAGTGATACCTCAAAGAGAACGGATGTCAAATTTTTCAAAGAATAACACCTTAAATTTGGTATTGTTCTCACAAAAAGCAATCATTTTGCCTCAGATGACTTGATGGATTTAGTGCATTACTTACTTTTATAATACTTTAAAAGAAAGTCATACAGTGACAAGATGGTAATGATGTAAATGATGACAGAACTTTAATTTTTCATGAAATGTTCCTTTAAGAGAAGAGTGTAGTGAAATATATTATTATAAACAACTGCCCAAAGAGCAAACAGTGAATACAGCTCTTCCGAAACCAGTGACCTATAACATAACCCTTGTAAATGTAATTAGCCATGCATATTTGAGTTTTTAAGCGCATGTGATCACATGTATATTCTCACCCCCTCAGAAACCCTAATGCAATTGAGCAATTATCTTTA